TACAGCAGTAGAAACTGCTTCCTTTCCTTGGGTTGTAATATTATGCTTCAAAATGCAGGTTTTTTAGGGGCGTAAGTCTTTTGCCATCATAACACGGGCAAGTTGATGTCAGTTATTTATTTACTTTCCCCTAGAAAATAGTGCTTTTCAACAACACAATTCTTATTAAATACCTGCACCATGATTTGTGCTATGACAAGCCTTCAACTTAATTTGGCACTATAAATAGAAGCAAATATGACTTCAGCACGGTCATTTGACTGTCCATCTCCAGGAAATGTTTTACCCACAAAGGCCACCTGTGCATCTTGTGCGTTTGTGTTCCAACTGAGTGCTCCAATTCCATATGTCACTTGAATCTGTTTGTTTGTTTCAGATGCCCACTGTTAGTAGCTATGTTCTTCTGAAAAAAAGCCCAATGAATCTAAAGAATAAGAGAATAATAAAATACAGGAAATGCTCAATAGGGAGGAAATACTGGCTTTGCTGCTGATCGTTTAATCAGACTTATGTGGTCCTTCTCTGACAGAGAATATTTCACAACATTGAATATTTTTGTTTCAAATTAGAACAAAAAGGCAACCCTTCTACAGAAGGACTGAGCATTTCTTCCTCCTCAGTTTTTTTGGTGGGCCTCCAAAATGGTGAGGAGCAGGGAGAGTACGTCAGTTTTCAGGATAACAGGCATATGCATGATTGCAAAACTCTGACTGAATTTATGAAATAGAAATAGGCTTTTCTGGAAGCATTTAGACAAGCTTTGCATCTTAGTTTTCAAATCTAAAATCACAAATTTCTTTTTGCTCAATTTACAGGGTGGGAATCTTAATTTAGCAAAAGGAGAAATCCCCACATGACTCTAATGAGAGAACTGGAAGATGAGTAATGTTTCCTTTTTTACTTCTTTTTTTTAACATTAAAACTAGTTCTTTTATCCAAGACATAAAGGTTAGGGTTGAGATGGTGGTGGAAAGAGAATTAAAGATTAGAGAGAGGGCAAAAGATCAGACTAAATGAGCTTGAATGCATAGGTTCAAATGCAGGTTCCCAAAATCCTGACTCTGCAGAATTCCAAGTGTACAAAAAAAAAGAACTCTTTTGACAATCTCTCATGGCTTTGACTTTGATTTTAGGTCTAAGACATGAACACTTACTTTAAACAAAATTGAAAACCTCAGAAAACTTAAATATTTCACTCAAAGCACCCAATATGCAGCTGCATATACCACGATATATTCAGTTAATCATTGTGCTTCTCTCCTTGCTTCTTTATTCTCTCAGCAGTCCTTAACAGAGGTGATTTAGCAGCTTTTTCCGTATATCATGTGGCTGTGCAACTTTACAAATTACAGTAGATTTTGCAAGGCCTGCTCTTTAAAGACGGCAGCTTCTGTCTCCACATGAAATCAGAGACGCATTTATTTTCTCTGCTAATTATGAGTATTTGGATCTTGATGCAAGAACATTTTTCCCCACTTGGATTCGTTTAAATTTTTATGATGCAGGTGGTTTACTGACTGTCTGCCACCAAGGGTAAAGAGCATGACAATGGAGAGAAGAAAACTCATTAAAAAGTAAAGCTGTGACACTCCATTCAAGGTGGCATCTCTGAGTTTTGCTGAGAAATGAACTGCTTGTGTAGCTATATGTCAATATGAAGCATCTTAAAGCAACGTAACAAAACTAAGCAAGCAGAACTTATAGGCACTATGAAGAAAAACGTTCATGAGTTTGGTAGATCCATTGAGATGAATACTCATGTTGGGAACAGCAGGGAAATTATTTGCCAAGAAGCACTGAGAATGGCTTATGAGCTGAAGGCTTGTTTTGTAACAACGTGACATAGGTACAATGCTTATACTCTGATTTTAATGGACATTGTATTGAACTGAAAAGGCTAATTATAGACTTAAGATTTTTTTATCACTGTGAAGAACATAACATGAAAAATACAGAAGTGGCTGTGCTGATAAAACCTCATGGCAACAACAGGCAGCAACTAATTTCTAATCTAGTGGTGGCTATAAAAAAAAAAAATTCACCCTTTGTCTCTTTCAGTGTGCTACAAACCCTAAAGATTTGCCTATGAGCACTGTAGGACTTGAAATGACTCAGTTCGTTCAATTAAAGGTATGATTGCATGCTGCTTTTTTGAACTTTGTCAATTTAAATGCTTTCTGCAGACAAATGACAGCAGAGATGACATCGCTTTTAAGACAAATTAATATTGAAGTTGCAGTAATTTTGAAGGACCAGACTTCACAGGTAGTTGTGCAAAATGCAATGGTTAACATGACTTGCAAAGCTGAGTGGAAAGAATGTTTCTCTAACTCACTGCTTACGGAGAATGTTCCCCTTGCTCAGCGGCACAGAACAGATTCCTGTGAACCAACATGTTTAATGGACCTTGGGCAATCCAAGAAAGATTTCTGAAGAGGACATTTCAAAGGGAGTTATAAAGAATTGCAGGAAGAACACACAGAGTGACTGAGAAGATGGCTACGGGAAAGGGGAAAGTATAGAAGATATGTGCATGACATTGCTTAGTTCTGTATTGCTTTAAAGTTCTAAATGTTTTAAACTCATACAGCAAATGACATCTTTTAACATAATTATTGTATTGTGACTTAGCGATCATCTTATGTTCAAGTGTAAATTTTTCTCTCCTGGTTTATGCCAAAATTCAAGAACTGATTTATGCTACATATCAAGGAAATTCAGGGTTAGGTATTAAACAAACACAGTAAAAGGTTGTACACTGCACACCTCAGGGCAATTACTGGATGCCAGGTATGTGCTCTGCTATGCTATGCTCATCGTGTAGCGGTTCTAATTACAAGTCACTGAGTTATGAAGATGCAGTATAAAATGAAAAAATCCAGGCAGCAATAAGGACCAGGAACTTCCTCCTTGTTTTATAAGTTCCTGAGCTTGTAAATATTTAGCAGCCAGGCACGGGGCCAGTGTTTCATGCCCCAGACAGGGGGACAAGACAGGCTAACAGATTCTCCTCCCAAACACAATACAGAACAGCAGACTCTCATTTGGTGTTTTCTTCCTTCATTTTCTGCAGCATTTAACTCATAGCAGTAGTCCATAATACCAGTGCTTTTCACATGCAGCACTTTTCCCTCAGCCAGGCCCCTACAATCAAGCATTGCTCCCCTCACTGGTCCACTGACCCCATGCCCATCACACAAGTTCACTCACATCAGTTTCGCTCACTGCTTCAGCTCTTCACCAGCTCCTCCTCATAACAGGGCCCTCAGTGAGGGCTCTCCTGCTTCCTCGTGGTGTGATCCTTAAGAACCTCTTGCATTATCAAGGGTTGTAAGACGGGGCATCCCACCATGCCCTGCATGTGGTAGAACAGCAGCCCTGTTTGGGTTACCCCTCCCATCATCCGTGTTGTACCTGCATCCCCTGTAGACCAGTCAGTGCTGGCGTCCCCGGTGGTATCCATGGCTGCTAAGACCCTGTGCTTAGACTTAGAATAGGCAGCATTTCCAGACTATGATATAGCTGTGTGGCAAGACACTCTGTTGTCCCCGCTCCTCTAAATTACTTCTTCATATCCATAATTAAGATAATTGCCATATTGCCAAACGCTCATTTAGTGAGGGATGCAGCACGCTTGGCTGTTGCTACTGCAGAGTTTTGCTGCACAGCTTTATGTCTGAAATAAACATAATTAGCGGCTTGCCTAAATACCTCCACCTTCCCCGACTAACAGTTCAATTTTCACTGAATGGCTCAAATTAGCACAAAATACACACAGGAACATAAGTCCCAACCATAGACTTGACTGTTCTGGAGAGATTTCAAAGATCTCTATTGTTTGCTAGTGCCATAGAAGAAAGATCATCTCTCTGGTGAAGTCTTCTCTTTGAACAGTCTCCTACACAGCAGTGAAGCAGCAGGAGGCTTTGTGTCCTTAAAGGCCCTGTATTTGATGGTCGTTGAGCCTACTGTGCACAGTGACTTACTAAAAAGACACACTACAGAAAAGGTCAGTAGCAGCAATATTTATTCCAGCTGTGAAATTGTGCAACAGGATGGAAAATGGATTTGAGAAATCAAAGAACTGGATCAAATGTGACAAGGATAATTTTCAAGACAGATGTCTTAGAGGAATGCACCTTCCCCGCTAATGCCCATTACAGCAGAACAACCCACTACC